GAGGAAGACAGGACTCACAACGTGCCAGATGCTAGTCGCATTTGCGCAAGATCACTTCTGCTCTCCTTGCTCGGCCCGCTCCGTCGTTTCCACAGCCACTACATGTTCCTCCTCCACGACAACATCGCCCTGTCGTACCACAACCGATTCATGCTCGACGATCTGTCCCTTGGGCTCTAAGGCGCCGAGCATGGAGTCGAGATTGCCCATGATATCGTCCAAGCGACTCTCGAGTCCAGTCGCAATGCCATCTGCTGCCTCGAACCGCCTCAATATCTCTGCGACATCAAGGTCGGACTCTTCGAAGTTCGGGTCTTGAACAAGGAGAGATTGCAAGAGTGCTACGTCGGCTTCGAGCGTGCTACGGGGCTGTGCAGATTGTGTTCCGTTCGGACTTGTACCGTTCGTCGACGGCGATGACATGGTAGATGTACGCAGAACTGCTGTGCCCGCGAACGCTGCAGTAAGGTCCAGTGCATCCTGAAGCGATCGTAGAAAGTAAGCGTGACCGTGACCGAGTTGAAGAGTGACAATGACGTCACTCAAGCTTGGTCGACACTGACACTGACAGTGTTGTCGTGCACGCCGCGCAGAGTATGCACCCTCTCCAGAACGAAATCGGGCCTCCACTACCCCTGGTCCTCCCCCCATGAACCTGGTAATCCCCGCTTCAGCCCACTCAGCGACATGCAGGACAACGAGCTCCATCTCCGAAGCCGTCTGACGCTCTTGCTTGATGCTTTGTCGCGCTTTCAAGAGTTTCTCAAGTTCACGGGTGGGATCATCACGACTATCATCCTTATTTTTGTGTCGTGGCTCGTGAAAAGACCCCTCGGGGATCACCACCTGAATATTGGTCGTAGTTCAATTCGGAATCTGTCGCTATACGACGTCTGCTACACCGGCGCACTCTACGACGAGAAGTACACCTACACATTCACCGCGCCCTGCATATCCATCCGATTCTGCAGGCCCACATCAGCCTACCCATGTTGGCTTGTCTTCACTGCACACGAGCTCTTCTACAAGTCTACTACATGCGACACTTCCCTTACGCGGCTGGACGTGTCGTTCTGGGTGTTCCCTTACCTCTTCAAGCGCACAGCCGGGTCATGGATCAGTGCCGAGCTCGATGGCCTCAGGATACGCGTGCATCACAGCAACGAGACGCCGTACTGGGTCAAACGCCTGAGGCAGAACCTCGCGGCGGCCCTGTTGAATGGCGATATCTACCGCCTGGACGACGTCAAGGTGACGGTACGGTTCGCGGGCGTGTCCGAGCCTCATATCCCAGCTAGGCGCAAGGCGCGGACCAAGGCGCAAGCGAGAGAACGGCCATTGTCTACTACACTGCCCACCAAGAGTTGCGCATTGGGTGGAGACTACTCGGAGAGCCTGGATGATAAAGGCAGCGATAGGAGCGACCTTAACTCGGGCGACGAGTGCACAGACCGCGAGGCGGACGGTAGCAGCCCAGCGGACCACGTCGACCCTCCACCACCCTTCTTGAACCGCGAGGTTGACGAGTTACGAACGACGATCTCTGCGTCTCAGCTGCACCTACACAATCCAGACGCCCGCATATATGCGTTCCATGCCATCGACGCGCAACTCAGGCGTGATTGGGACTCGAACCGGGGAAGTTTTGTGCTTATTGCGGAGGAGAGCCGCTGGATACGTGTACGCTCGCCATACCAAGGAGAGTGGTCACCGGGGTGGAGGTGAGTCTGACACCTCTGTAGCCTATCCTGAGTCGTCATTCTGATGCTTCTATGCAGACAGATCTTCACATCGTTGGCGCAGTTTCCCTTCGACTTCTTGCGGTTCATCGACTTCCCGATGAGCGCGGTCGACCTGTACGTGGGACGTGCAGATGTTACATTTGATGAGTTCCGCGTGCGTCAATCTGCAGCATCGACCGGTCTCACATCAGTTTTAGTTTCTGACACCTAGTCTGCAGATACGAGACGCTGAACTTGTCAAACAAGGCTTCATCACTCTTCGCGAGAAGACGGCGCTCTTCGAAGTGAACTGGGGTGATGCGATACTCGATGCATTTATCAAGACAGTTGTCAATCCATAAGTGATGACGACCAATACATGAACACCATGCATCTAGTACACGCCCACGCATGGTGACAAGTGGACGTTAACCTGACCACCGTATATCATTAGCTCCTCCTCCTCCTGTGTAACCTCCCGGAAAACATCATACATGCATGCTGTGCAATACGATCATACCCGTTCAAGATTGTCGCTCACAAAGAGCGACCATAGCAAAAAATTGTACCACCAACAGCACAAGAGTAGTCTGAATCGAGTTTCGCAGGGAGCTCCGAAGAGTCCCCATACCTGCGAGCCACGAAGTGAGCTGAAGGACGGGCACCATGCACCGAATCGAGCGACGAGCACATCTCCTGTACCGGCTGGGATGCCCACCCAGTCCCCGCGACATCTCCCAAGCCGCCGCGCACACCCTCCCCACAGAGTGGATCTCCAGGCTTGTGTCGTGCACGGGCAGCGGTTTTCTGATATGTCGCGCCGGCGTTACGTCCGGGGCCCTGCTAGGGCCGATCGAGGGGGACTAGAATGCTCAGACCTTAGCCCGCTCGCTGGAAGGGATGCGCGTAGGGCGGTACGGCGTCCTGTACGGGGCGAGCATCGCGGCTTTTGCGCTGTCGAGTGTGTGGTGAGGAGAGTCGCGAAGAGAACCGGGCCGCTTTTTGACTCGGTGACGGGGCGGCGCTTCAAAAACGATCGATAAGTATCGGGCGTGGCTGAAGACTGAAGATACTAAAACCCTAGTAGTTGAGCGTTGCTGTGATAACTCCAAAGCTTATAATGTTGCTAGCATTCAAATTATTCAAAGCTTTGGGTTATACACGATTTTTCCGCTTCAAGACGGCCCAGATCCAGTAAAGGCCAGTGGCTGCGTTGCCACAACTATTCTTACTGATCGACGATCTTCGCCACTGACGCGTAACTCCGCTTAGACTCCTTTCCAAGCCACGCCATCGACGCGTCCTGGGACGCGCGTGCACGGCGCAACCCAGGCCCCATTTTCTCAATCATTCCTTCTGGCGAGGACGGTAAGCCTTCTAAAGCACAGGCGCGCGTCTGCAACTCACGTTGAGCAAGGCTAAAAATGCAGATGCTGAAGGCTGATGAAGGGAGCGTCGAGGACAGTATTTCTATCGTTCACAAGCTGACCACTCAGCCCGTGGATTACACCGATGAGGCACTTCAAAAGGACGTTTTTGGTGCGGGAACATACTCATCGGTCGGTTTCCAAGCTCACTGACGCGTATTTCCAAAGACCATGTAGACAAGAAGATCGTACCTCGCGTTCAGCCCGAACAGCACCCGCCCGCGTCGGTCCTCGTATACGCTGCGCGCAACATTATGAAACCCCACTTTGTCGTCAGCGAGATTCCCGACTTGCTTACACTTCTGGGCCACCTAAACGTGCTCCGCAAATTCGCGGTGACCAAGGTGTCCCATGCGCTGACATGGCACAAACGGTTTCGTGACAATCCCACGGATGATGTCTCGCTACTCTCGCCGACCATTGAGACGGTCTTGGAGCGGGCGAGAGACCGTGCCCCTCATTACCAGCAGTTGTACAGGCACATAATCAACACGTGCTACGAAGTGGTATGTGCTCTCTTGTTGGTTCCGATAGACACCTCGAGTGCTCATATGCCCATGTCATAGGACATCCAACACGCCTTCCTTCATGGTTCCCCGAAGATGTTTTGGTCTAAGATGCAAACATATTTCCCAGGCCAGTTTTCTGATGAAACCGACGACGAAGCCTCTGCGGCAGCTGCCCAGACGCGCATGATGCGCCTCTATCATCATGACCTGTCTCAAGAAGAGCTACGTGACGGCTTGAATACCGGCCTGCGCTGCGCGAAGTTTGCACATGACGCCGCGAGGTACATGGAGGATCCCGCAGCTTACTGTGCAGAAGTAGGGTGAGTGTTCATGAATCATGCTGAAATCACTTCTCGTTGACCAGCGCTTGGTAGGGCTCCTGTGGATACGACGATGGAGGACCTTTTTCCGAATCCCGACACGAATGCTCTCGTACGCTCGGTAGACAAGTATCTCGATCATGCCCTCAAAGTAGTGACTGTAATCGAACGTCTCTTCCCCATGAAGAGCAAGTAAGCAAGCCATGACATGAGATAACCACTGTTAGCAGGAAGCCGTAGGGGCAATCATGAACGATCTGGCTGTACTCAATGGCCCTCTCGCACCTCGGAGGTCATTATGTCTCGTTGAGCTGCTGATGAATTGGCGGCTGATCAACGTCATGCTGCAAACATCCTGACAAGCTGCTATCGCCAGTGCATCCAAGTACGCCTGAGGGCTCAATGTTGCGAGTACTGTGACGAGCCTTCAAGAGATCGTGGTCACTTTCCTACTATGCGGTATTGCGACCGCGCTCCATACAGTAAGTCGCTCTAGACTACTTATGACACTTTGCACAAGCACTCATGGCCACTTTCAGTTGCCATCAGTGACGCGTCGCGTCCAGTTCTGGCCTCGATCGCCCCCCGCTCACGTCGCCTCGTCGCGCGCACGCGGCCTCATCTCCCGCACGTATATAAGCCGTCCGTGCAGTCCGCACTTGTTTCTCCCCCTCCTCGCTGCGCCCTCGTCTCCTCCCCCTCGTCCTGCTAGCCCGAAATAGCAGATACGCCTGAAGTGATCGCTACCCTCGTGATTGTACGGGTTCGTAGCATCATGCCACGAGTCTGTTGTTTGTTGCCACCTCAGTGTGCCCCGGTGCATGGGACAATCTCCCGTCCACCCTCGCCGTGCCTTCTCCTAGTCTCTTCACGAGCGGTCAATGTTCGGCACTGTAATCGTGCTGGCTTAGTGACAGCGCGCCGTACGTTCGCGCTCTACGTCACCTGACCGTGTTTTCAGTGAAATGTCGCAGGTCTGATGACATGATCATGTATATAACACCCTTGCAACTGTGTATAACAGGCAAGATGGCCGAGCGGTCTAAGGCGCTGGAATCAGGTTGAGTAATTACCAATCCAGTCCTCACGGGCGTGGGTTCGAATCCCACTCTTGTCATCTTTTATTTTCCATTCCAAGCATTCATCTTACAAGTTCTTGTCCAACAAAGAAACAACGTGAGACAGCACAGCAACCCTGATATGTTTTGCTACGCACAACGATACACAGGTATGTGGCAAGCACCTCGGACCGTCCTTGTCATGCCGCGTTCTCAGTCATTCCGCATATATGTATAATTCTGAGTAGGTTGATGAATCCACGAGTTCGGAGCACCAAATGCTATGCTACGCTCGACGGCGCAGCCGGAACAGCCATACATAACATATATAGAGCAAGGTAAAGTGACAGCCCTCATATCACGCCGCCAGCAGGTACTAAATGTTTGCTTAGCGTTCACCAAACATGATTTTCAGGTTCTCTACGCTTTCCGGATCGCCCTCTGCTTTGCCCCGGAAAGCCTCCTTCACGATGGCCGTCTTGCGCTTCTGTATCTGTAGGATGCGACCCTCAATGGTGTCTGCGATCTGCCGTTCCGGGTGAGCACTTGCAGCACTGAATGCATGGCTTACGGCTCACTATGAAGTGCTTGACATGTACAGTCTTCTCCTGCCCGATGCGGTGAACGCGGTCGATAGCTATTGCACGTGTCAGTGCCGAAAACAGCCCGAGATGTGACAACATATCTTACCCTGGTTCTCGGTAGCGGCATTCCACCAGCAATCCATCTACGGAGGTTGCGGAATCAGATACACGGGTCGATCCGAGCATGTTTATGAGACAACACACCATGAAGACATGATTGGCGTTGGTCAACTGTCGATGAAGGTGCGCCTCAGAGTACGAGACAAGTCGGTGAAAGTGCTTACGTTCAGGCCCACTCCGCCTGCCTTCAAGCTCACAATGAGGACCTTCGGACCACGAGAAGCCTCCTTGAACCCGGTTATTGATTCGTTCCGCTTCTTGATGTCCATGGTGCCATCGAACCGGTACCACTCAAGACCCTCGCGCTCTAAGACGATTTGAATGAGATCAAGGAAGCTCGTGAACTGAGAGAAGACGACCGCGCGGAAAGTCGGGTCTTCGTTCCATATTCGCTCTATTCCACGACGTTAGTCTCAGCCGGAGCACCACTGACACAGACTCACTGAGATGTTGCAGCAATGCCTCTAGCTTCGTCGAAGACCGGAAGTCGTTGCGTCGCAACGTGACAGCCGGACGCGATGCTTGTGGCTCTACACTACCTGCCTCTGTCTTGGCCCGCACAACCTCTATGAGATCGCTCTCCTGTGGTGCGAGTCAGATCCACTTCAGGTGGTAGCTTTTCTCAGCAGACCTTGACTGGGCCGCGAGAACACGTCGGGCACCTGCCGTCCTCACCCTTCTCTCGACACGTCTCGATGAAGGCTACAATACAATCCTTACAGCTTTGGGGACATCAGGGTGTGCACTGCTGCTCAGCGAGCGTGCCACGTACCTCTGGTGCAAACAACTCGGAGTAATTGTAGGTGTGTCCATGACGTCGAAACAAATTGGACACTCCTGTCCGTCTTCCCCATCCAGATTCGCGAGCACGCCTTCAGCAAAAACCTTGCTGTCGCCTGCAGAGTCATTGCCTTCGCCGAACTGTTTGACTAAAGAATTGACGTCAATCGCCCCCTTACTTGACGCCTTGATCCCCCCGTCATCGCTGGACAGCACAAGGTTGGGGTGGAGAACGGCGCGGCGTAGCCTGCGTCTACCGTATCAATGACTGTGTACTCTTTGCATACCATGGCACTTACCGCATAAGCATAGCTAGAATATGTGTGTAGTTCCTGCTCACGAGACCCTTCTCATTCAGCTTGTCGAAGTTCTTCTTCGCGTCGGTATACAGTGAGTCATAGATCTTCCGTTCCAACGGGGAGAACTCCAGATTCTCCAAGACGACCTGGCAGCAAAATTGTGAGAGCGACGATCAAGGTGTACAGCAAGCCGTGTCACCTCCTTCGGGGGTAGCTCGACGATTCTCTTCCCATCCGTGTCTAGCATGTTTTTCTCTCGCCGTAGCAATGTGCTCTCTAGGATGACCTGAACGACCTCGACTGCCTTTGGATCTCGAGCAAGGAACGGCAGTGTGATGAATCTGACGAGGGGTTAGCAACGTGCACACGGGCTACCCCATCAAGACACGTACGAGCGGAAGAAGGTATAGTTTGACCATGGGGTGAAGTCCAAGAATTTGCTGCCAACGAATGAGTTACTAGCAGCATACAATATGCGATGACAACCAACAGCAGTGAGTATAGATCTTCTAGTCTGTTCACGATGGGCGTCCCCGTCACAGCCCATCGCCGCCGCGCACGCAGTGAGTACACTGCTTTCGCAGTTTTGCTCTGTCGAGATTTGCAATGGTGGGCTTCGTCCAGAACGACGCCTGAACACAGCGCTTAGTTCATGAAGAGATGCGGAGAGAATCAGCACCTACGGAGCCATTCGACTAGCAAGATATCGGTCAGAGTAGACAACGCATTCACCAAGGTAGAAGCTTACTCTCGAATGCCGGCGACGACGACTTTGAGTGTTCCGACACCAGCGTCCCATACGACGTGATGACGACATCGACCGGGTCATCCCCACCCACCGCTGCATCCAGGTCCATCCTGTTCTGACTATGCCACACGAGCACCTTCAGCGTGCCAGGCTTGCTCGAGCGCTCCAGCTCAGCAGCCCACTGCGTCAGCAGCGAGGTCGGCGCGACGATCAGCGTCGCCGCAGGTCCGCGCTTTGGGCGGGTGTCAGGGTCGCGCTTGACGGCGCGAAAGGCGCTGTTGAGGTTGAGCTGGCGCTTTTTGCTAGGGTTCTGAGTTGGCTCGGGTGCGGGATCCTCAGGTCCGCAGGCTGTTTGGATGAGGGCAGAGAGCATGATCGTCTTGCCCATACCCACTGTTAAATTATGTAATTAGTGGGACGCTCAGACTGTGTTGGCGTGCCCCACGTACTCTCTATGAGGATATCATCGTGGAAGGCTTCATCAGTAACCTAGAAGGTATCATGGACAAGAAACATCACCATCACTGCTCATCTAATCAGCGTGGTTTATGTTGGAGAAATGGGTCCGACGTACGCAAGTATTCCACCCCTACACTTCCTCTCAGCCTTAGGGAACTGTAGGCTAAGCTCTCCAGAGTACTCGTTGAAGTAGAACGCTCTGTCGTCAGCGGTCAAGTCGATGACGCCGCCCGCTGGCTCGGGCGGGAAGACGTATCTATGCGCTCTCAATCACAGGCGCAGCACGCAGGGAGCACCTTGCTCACTCTTTCCACAAGGGGTGCATTGATGTTTCCTCGCGGGCCGACGCGGTACCGGTCTCGATGGAATGCATCCAGCTGGCATCCACCCTGGTTAGAGTATGCGCATGAAATTGAGGGAGGGCTCACTTCAATGCTTGTTTTTGGTACCCACGTAATTTAAGGGTAAAAGTGTCCGCTGGGTCCATCTCCCCGAGCTGTCGGTCATTCTGCTGCGCCCTGGTCGACTCCTGTCAGCAAGCTCCACCACTCGGCATGGGGCATAAACATTGTCCATTACCTCTTGTAGATCAGGTCGAGTTCGTTGTCGGATAGCTCCTCGCCCTCTTCGTCGATCTCGACCTCTTCGCCGTCACCCACGATCTCGGTCTTCCCCTTCCGTTCAGCCGCCTCATTCCCCACGTGCCTCTGTGACAGCATTTCGAGGTCCTTCTGGTCCAGCCTTCCGTGCGGCTTTCGCGAGAAGTCGCTTCCTTGGCGAGGCCTCAAGTCGAGCACCTTGAACATCTTGAGGAGAGCCTGCTTGCGTTCCCGGAGGACCTGTTCTTCACCAGTTTCATGTCCTTCATCGAACATGATGCGTTCCTTCTGCTCTTCGTCCGCAGACGTACTGGGCAAGCGGAAGGCGGTGGCTTTGATGTAGACGGAGAGTGAGACGATTAGGTCGGCACCGGCATGGAGAGTGGCAGGGCAGTCAACGACAGTGCTGCCCCGGAAGTCCACAATATCTGGGAGTACGTCAGAGGTGTGTGCGCACATACGGCGACAACGTTACCTAAGTCTAGTAGCTTCGACACCCACGACGCGACATCCTGAGGCAGTCGGCCGAATTCTAGGCGATACTATAGCAGAGGTATGATCCACGTACAGCATATACTCACCGAAGCCTCTCATATTCGTCAATCTGACCACCAAGTCCTTCTTCTTTTTCGAAGTTTTCGCCGGGGCTGGTTTTAACATCGTGGCGATGGAGATTTGTTTCTTGCCACTCTTGCCCTTGCCGTCCTTACTGGACCTAGCCTTGCCCTTCGCAGGCTTGGTGGGAGGATATGTGTCCTCGTCGGGAGAGTCACGTTCAACTCGAATTTCATCTGCCTCCTTGACATACCCTGAGCCGCGCACGGTACTCCAAGCGTTGGGCACCAGAAAGGAGCCCAGATATGACAAGTTGAACGACGTGGTGGTACCCTGAGCGTGCGGTGGTGATAGTTTTCTCTTCTTTGTTGGGCTCTCCACAGAGCGTTCTTGAACAACAGGCGAAGGCGACCGCGATTGTGCTTTCACCTCATGACTGGACGATGCACTAGAGACACTCGACGCCCTAGGTGGCTCGTCTAGCTCAGGGATCTCGACATCGTCAGACAAGTCTGCCAAGGCTTGATCAAATGCGAGTGATGGTAGCTGCATTGGTTCGTGTTCGATAGATTCGTCGTCGTCACTGTCAGCGAAGAACAGCGGAGCAGAGTCGCGAGGTGCGGCGTTCTTCAAGTCCCTGTTCAAGTTAGGCAATTCGGCGACGTGCATATCTACGTCCTGAGAGTTGCTTCTTCGAATCTCATCATCATCAGAGTCCGCAAAGAATGGAGGAGGTACGCCGTTAGACTTTTGAGACATCGGAAAAGCTCTGAGCTGGTGGGAGAGACGCGGTCAAGGCGCGCTGCTACCGCGACGTCTTTGCCACCGACGCGTCGCACAATCTAAGCTCCGCTTCGCTGATCCACCTCCGCGACGCGGTCACGTTACCCATACTGCAAGTCGTGGCAATCGCCG